TTTTTGTTGAACTAGGTATATAATCAACATTAATCTTTATAAAAGTATCTCAGTAATTTACCAGCAAATACACAGGAAATTTTCCCAAAATGATGTGCTTCTTTAAGGTATAGCTATGAGAACTTACAAAGCGGGTTAGTTGTAGAAGTATCTGGGGTGATCATGAAGTAAAACAGGTTGGCCTCAGATGGGTGTGCACTGCTGTCAAATCTGGGTTCTAGAAGTAAAAAACAGGTTTAAGACATTCAAAAATTACAGTACAAATATGTTTGTCAAAGTGTCAATAAAGAAGTCAATGACATGGTTTATTTTAAATATTATTATTAAATATAATAAAAAATATTGAAAACATTCAAGGTAGCAACATACATTTTTAGGGGCTGTAGGGTGTGAAGTGTTTTCTTAGATCTGTGGAAAAAAAATTAAAGAAATACAGTGGTTACATGCATACTTCATTCGCAAGAAATTATTGGAAAAATAATTTAATATTGTAAATAAAGTGTAGCACATGATTGAGTCAAAAACTGCTCTACTGCTGTATAAGAGATTAAAAATGAAATACCTTACCTTCAGTGTACTGAGGCCGAAACAGTACGGTGTTCACCAGACTGCTGTTCAGAGAAGACAGCTGCCACAAGCACTTGTCCTAAATATGTCAAATAATTATTCAGTTAAAGGCAAGCTCCACTATTGTTGTGAATTGTAGATTACAGACACATTCATTCCTTGATATTTGCATACTTTACAAGAAATAATGAAAACTTCTATACATATCTACTTGAGGCCTCAGTCATAAAACCAATTGAAAAGCAGCATTTCCTCTGTATTACAGTAGTAAGAGTTTCAACACAGCAAAGCAATAATTACTGCAAGACAAAGAGCTCATTCAGTTTAAACCTTAAATGTGTGATCACGTGATGACTATGATTGTGATGCATTAAAAATATTGACAATAACATGGTTAACTTAAAAATAACTTTAACACTAAATTATAGTTAACACTGCAAAAGATTACAGTAAACAATGAATCATCAGTGGCACATAAGTGGCACTGTGAGCTCATCTTGAGCACTTTTGGCATGTTCTTGAATTGTACCTCTGAATTTTCATTTTTTAACTATCGGTTTTGTTGTGGCTACATGAATATTTTAAGTAAGAGTTACTCATTGCAGCAAGTAAGTTGTTTTATTCGCCTTAAAATTAGCTGTTACTTAATAAAACCGAGTAAGTATAACAATTAAGTAAATATAACTAATTATATCCAAGTAAGGTAAACTATTGGATTTTACAGTACTAACCTTACAGTAGTGCTCAACACCACAACCCCAATTCCAGAAAAGCTGGGAAGTTTTGAAAAATGCAATAAAATCAAGAATCTGTGATTTGTTAATTCTCTTTAACCTTTATTTAATTTGGAAAAGATGTCTTTCATGGGAAGTCCATGGTTATTAGATCAAGACAATGGCAGGTCTCATTCTGCATGTGCTACAACAGCGTGGTTTCGTAGACACAGAATGAATGTGCTAGACAGGCCAGCCTGCAGTCCAGATCTGTCTCCATATTGAACATGTGTGACCAGTCATGAAAAGGAGAATCAGACAACGAAGATCACAGACTGCTGAGCATCTGAAATTTTGTATTTTGCTTCCAAAACTTTTAGTATCCTCAATTCCTAAGCAATGAAACACTGTAATTAAAAGGAAAGTTGATGTGACACCGTGGTAAACATGCCTCTGTCCCAACTTTTTTGGAGTGTGTTGCAGCCAATCAAAATTTGTTTATATTTACAAAATAAAATTTGGCCAGTGAAAACATTGGATTTTTTTCTTTGTATTTTAGTCAATTAAATAAAGGTGAAAGAGAATGAACAAATAACATATTCTCGATTTTATGGCATTTCACAAAACGTCCTAACTTTTCTGGAATTGGGGTTGTCAGACTTTCAAAATGAATTAAGATTATAATAATTTAATTTTAAAGCACAGCCACCACAAAATCAGACTTACTTTGAGATCATTCTGAGTTAAATACAGGTTTAAAATCCTAACAAGAAATATTTTAATAGCTATGATACTGTTTTTGAAATTGAATCTTTGCATAGCTATGACAGGAAACACTGGAATCTAACAATGCCTTGGAAAAAAGTTAATCTTAAAAAATAATGCATATACATAAACCCAAATAGGAAAAAAAACGGATATCAAATAAGCCTATTTTCTGTACTAAACTCGTGAGATATTGGTGTCTCATATTTTAGAGCAGTCACTGCAATTTATGAAAGAAATCAATTAAGTGTGTGTGTGAAAAAAAAAATTCAGATGTAACCCTCTTTGTAATCATTAACATTTTCATAAGTAACTAATTTAATTACACATTTTTCTCAGTAACTGTAACTGATTACGATTACATTCATTTTGTAATTAAATTATGCAATTCCATTACATGTAACTAGTTACTCCCCAACACTGCCAGTTGAACTGGTTTCTCATTAGAAACATACCACTGTCAAAAAACAAAAACAAAAAGCACACACACATGTATGTCCTGTAGAGAATGGGCCTGCCATAGGGCGGAGACCAAGAAATCTGCACCCAAAATTAGGGATGCACCGATACCACTTTTTCCAGTACTCGCCCGATACCGATACGTTCATGTTTGGTACTTGCCGATACAGAGTACCGATACCAATATTTTTATTGCATTTGTAAATTTTTTTAAATATTGGGTACAGAAACCAAAAGAGTATGTATAATGTTAGTTGGTTAACTTCATTTATGAAATAGATAGTCAAACCAAAATTTATTCAGACACCAACATTTCTCACATTATCACAGTTTATTCGCTATAGTTTAGAAAATGGTAATAAAATATAAGAACTGAGAGTTAAACTGTGTCAACAAATTCATCTTGATAATGTCAGATAATTTTGATAGAAAGGTATGTAATAGATTACAATCAACCAAAATAATTCAGACAGCTGTTAGTATGACAGTATTTAGGCAAGGCAAGGCAAGGCAAGTTTATTTGTATAGCACATTTCATACACAATGGTAATTCAAAGTGCTTTACATAAAATAAAATAAAAACAATAATCACAACAATAAAACAAGGAATTTAAAAACTTTGAAAATTATT